AATTTTCAAAATTATTCGAGAATGCTTTGCCATTCTAAATTGATATAAAAAATTTGGTTCGGCTATGGCAATTTTTTGAACTTCCTCTCAAGAAACCGTTCCTACGAACGGTTGAAAAAGATCTAATTTTCAATCATTTTCATCCTGAAAATTAGTTCGTAATAGTATATTGGCAAAGAAGTCAACTTTACCGCTTTTGAACAACGTGGGTCTATTTTTTAGATACCATAGCGTAGAAGGATTCTCGGAAAATGTGAAGCCTTGTATATTAAAAAAACTTAATTGTTAAGATTTTATGATGAAAATTTGTTCTTCACGGTAATTTAACATAAAAATTAAGGGAACCAAATTTAAACCACATAGGTCTATTTCTCCTTAAGTCTACTCCATTTAAGAATACTCATGAATTGTAAGGCCTTTAAAAAAGGTTTAATTTTTAATATTTTATGACGTAGATTGGTCCATGGCAGCAATTTACAAAAAGAAAATAGCTGTAAAAAATTTTGATCAGATAGATCCATTTCTTACGCCTCAACATGTGTAGAAGTTATCATGAAAAGCAAGCCCTTATATGGAAAGAAAGTCTAATTTCCGCTTTTTTATGACGAAAACTGAAAACTAAAAAAAAATTTTGGAACTAAATTAAGTTGCCTTACGAAAACATAGCCCACACCTAGCTTCGCCATTTCCCAATTTTGAACCGTCGTTGTACCATTTCCTTGCTTGCACCCTCGGTTGAAAAGTTTCGCCGTGCTAGCCTGATCTCGCCGGTCTAATCTAGCTGGTGTTTACAAGTGCAAACACTTTGCGAAGGTATGCTTAGGTTTAGTGGCTGTATTTGGTTGACGCAACATTTCCACTTTGCTCCTGTTGAAGTGAACAACTATATCCAGTTTCCTTACTATACATTGCACGTTCTTTCTATTTATAGCACTCACTGGTATTACAAAGACGAGAAAAAGGAAACATACATAAATGAGATTTGCATTAATTTTGATGAAATTTTGAGTTTTTATATCGAAAAATAATTTTTCACTTTACGCGACATGTACACAAGTTGAAAGCATTTAACTGATTAATAATACAATAAGAAATCTCTGAATTCCAGCTATTTAACCAACACCATGGGAAAATGTATATAGCTAATAATGTTGCGGGTCTTGCGTCGCTTAGTGATTGATGGGTAATTGAAGGCACTACCCATGCCAATGCAACATTTTGATAACCCAAGTGGAGGATCAATAGGTTCGCAAAAAACAACTTTCGGCCGACTTCACTGCGGTTTTCTGTCTTCGCAATTTTTTGTGTATTCATAAGCAGGATACGTCAATGCAATTGAATGGGAAAGGAGAAGGAAAAGCGAAAGAAATTTCTTTGCCCGCAATAACACAAGAGAGACTTTCACGGCCGGAAACCGGACCTTGTAAAAAACTTACCCAATTTCCATGCTTTAAGTGCTGCTGCATTGACCACAAAGCCAATCTCTCTCTCCTCTCTCTCTCTCTCTCTCTCTCTTTCTCTCTCTCTGGGCAGCTACAATCCAATGCAATTATTGTATTCATGTGACATTTAAATTTTCAATGAACCTTTCCTTTCGAATTTACTAAACGAAGAAGAATATTTTTTATATAAAATTACTATGAAAGAGAAAATTGGCAAACGTATTAAAAAGGACAAGGTCTCGTAGTTTGGTAGTAAATAGTTGATATTTACCTTAAATAAATGAATAATACATCGGCGTTGTTTTAGTTACACGGATATGTGCGAATATTAGTTGTTGAATACATTCATACATATATATCGAATAACTTTTGATGAAAATATAAAGTGTTATGCAGTTGTCGTATATCAAAATAGAAAACCTGATGACCGCCAAAGTGTAAAATTCTTAAAAAAAAAAAAAAAAAAAAAAAAAAAAAAAAAAAAAAAGCTATACTAACTATACTAAAGCCTGATCTGACAACAACCTGTACGTGCACGTGTAAAAGTAATTATAACTGTTCTGGCATTAAACAAATGTATTACGGCTGACTAATGCACATTTATAAGATACAAGAATACCATATTTAAATTTTGCCTATAACATATAGCATGCAAATGAGACATTGTCTTATCCTATGAGCGAAACCCAAACAACACTTACTAAATAACAAACTAATCGTGGACTGCGGCGCATGTTTGGTATTTGTTCCTTGGCGTCAAATTGGTTTTTGTGCTAGATTTTGAATGTGAAACATTGCGTGATTGCTTTGAATTCGATAAAGGGAAGTCAAAGTTGAAACATTACCATACAAATTTAGATATATGTTAAAAGTTCTATAGGGCGAAATAGCTCAAGTTACCACCCATAACGCCTTGAACAATCTGTATAGATTGCACCATGCAAAGATTTCGTTCAGCACAAGCTTCACTTTACCATTTTACGTAGTTTGTACCTAAAAGTGAATATGTAGTACTTAACCCATTGATGAACCTAATGCACCTCGCTTTTAATTTACTCAGAATAATATCTTTGTAGGTTTAATATGCAAATGCATGGGCGAATAAAATCCTTTACCGAACTAATTCAAAAAGTAAGAGACAAGCAAACTTTGCTAACATCCTGATGGCCAAGAATAAGCTCTACAACAACGGCCCTTGCCGTTGAGAGAAGTACAAGAAGAATGGACAGACCTGACGGCCAATCGGCAATATTTATACATTATAGTCCCCAATCCCTTTTTTGTGCGATGCGACCAATCACTTAAGGGAGTTTATTAAGCTGACGGTCACGAAGAATTGAGGAAAGAGAAAAAAAGAAATAGGAATCTAGTAGATATGTGCCCAGTCGACAAGTCTAGCGCCTTCATCGACTCACTCGAGCACTCACTATAGCTACGACCAATGTAAATCTGTCGGATTGAGATTTAACCCAGCGAACACTGACTTGGTAGTCGCGATTCTTACTTACTCGGTCGCTCATAAGGACATAGTTGGCCCGTGCGCATTCCATAGTTTTCTTCGGTAGCCTTTAGGTCACCGGAAATAGTTAATAGGCGGTAGTTGTAGAAGCAATTTTCCGCGTAAGTGAAGGACTGATTGGTAAGTTAAAAACGAACGGACGAGACCGACAGGACTAAGGTTATAGGTTATAAGTTACGTGATTGTATGTTATGTGTAAATAACATTAAATATGTCGAAAAATTCACATGCAATCAACGGACTCTTTTCTGTTCTTTTTCATACAAAGTCAAGGTTCTTCAGACTATATATATGCAAGCTGATGACTGGTTGATTAGAATTAACAATATAACGTGACGGGTAGCGAATATAATGCTTATCTCTATCTCTTTTTAGAGTTATTCATATATTATGTCCTTGAGTGAGTAATACACACCCCACATGCGTACATGTGCTCCAATGTGAAGGTTCTTTCATCGTTTTAATGGTGTTATATTTTTTTATACATTTTAATTGTTGCCGGATACTAATAACGTTATATCTAATGTGAAAACAAAAGAGAAATTGGACGCATGACAATTATGAACACATTTACATAAATATATATATATTTTCTTTTTTGTTGTTTGATATATATGTACATATAAAGTAACAACTGTTGTTGTTGTTGTTGTTTGATAAAACTTTCAACACATTAGTTTAGCTAATTTTTTTTTGTGTTATTCTCTTATAATTGCGTGACGCATGTTCATTGCACGATGTTTTCAAAACACATGCTTCGCCAGAAAATAATCAGAATTTTTAGCAAATTTGATTAGAATTTGCATATTTAACTATTGTCAAAAGTGTTTTAGTAAACGCGTAAGGTTTGTTTCTGTAGAAGAAATATTTTTCAAACAAAATTAATATATATTTATGTCTCGTTTTTGAAAGTTTCACTGTTGCGTTTTTTCAAAAAGGTTTTAAATAAAATTTCCATTTTGATATTTGATAAAAATCTCAAATATAGTCAAGGAGCTATTCAATGCGCCAAATTTAACGTAGTGTGGGTTTTTTATTTTCCCAGATAATCACATTTTAGAATAAATTTTTTATCGCCTTAAAAACCATCTTGACGATAATTTTTTTAACCATTCGAAGAATGCGCTTTAGTTGCTGAGCTATTTGAGTTTACTAAAACATTTTAAAAATATATATCTTGATCATTTTATCAAAGTAATGCTGAGATTTCTTTCAATTAAAAAATTCTCCTCTCTGGGTGAACATTTTTTTAAAGAAATTTCTTTATAAATTGGTAATAAGCGTATACATATTCATACTTTTCGGTTGAAAATTAGGGACCTTACATAATGTAAAAGAAGAAATTAAAACATTTTGTTTTTACGACGGTTGGTAGAAATATTAGCTCGAGTCATAAGTCATTGCATAACAAAATTATATTAATTTAACAGTTGGTTGTGAGGTATTCAACCGTTTTGCAATAGCTCTTGTTGATAGGCGTGGATCTTGCTCCAATATTGCCTTTAGAAGATTGTCATCAAAGTCGGAAGGACGTCTCGTCATTTAACGTCGCATATGTAGATCAACTAATTTCCAGTCCTTCACCGTATACGCTGCATATTTTTTCAGCTGTCGCCTTAACGCTCTTGCCTTGCCTTGCATTACATGTCGAATATGCACTTTTTGACTCTCCATTTCAGAGATTAAAAAAAAAACAGTCGAATATAACATGCATCACATAAAAGAGTTGGCAGACGACTAAGTGAATTCTCATTTAACAAAAACTCGTTTGTTTCGCTGACTTATAGTGGATTAATACGAACAATAGATTCTACCTATCTGCATCGGAAGTTATTTATGACTCGTTCTAATATATTATTTTGCTTCTTAAAACTTGAAGATGGCAGTCCCCTACATAATTCCCATTGAACAAATGCAGCCGTTTGCAATGGCAATCTTTATTACATTTTCGGAAAAGCTTGGTAACCCTCCACTATATTATGCAAATAATACTTTACAAGCAAACAAGAAGAACAGCTGTGTCGATTGTTTACTTTTATTTATAAGATTTTTAAACTCTTCCTAAGGTGTAATGAATGGGCTTTCAAATAGACCGAGGACAATAAAAGATAAAAAATAGTTCAAATATTTTGCTTAGTGTTAAGTGCTATATAACAAAAGAGTGCGTAATAGGTTCATTGTTTGACAATAAGATAAAAAAGAAGAAAAGAAGAAAACAAAGATGTCAAGGCGTAGACATATTGCAAATCGAACAGATTATACTCCGCTAACCACGGAAGACATTGGGGAAGACGAATACGATCGGCCGGATGGATTTATGGAAGATCAATTTGACAAACCGGAAAGAAAATTTCCTTGGAAAACAATATTGTTTATATTGTTCTTTTTAATAGCTGGGGCGGTGAGTCATTTACCTCATTTACACATCTGTAAAGATTCATTATAACATCTAAAAATGTGTGTCTTGTGCATTTTTCTTTATTCTATTTTAGACTTGTTTAACTTGCGGTATTTTAGTTTCTACGGATTATGTCGATAAAAAGTACGCAGACCGGGCGTGGCCGTTATTAATATTGGGCATCCTTATGTTTATACCCGGTGGTTATTATGGGTACATTTTATTATGCATTTGCCTTAAGCGTGACGGCTTTACGGGTAAGCTGAAGTAATATCGTATTAAAAGGGATTATTTATAATGCTTTCTTTTCATTTCAACAGTCGAAGACATCCCAATGTTGTAAAAGCTAATGTCGTTTTGTAATATTCAATATTGTGACTGCCACGTTTCTTTATAATTAAGCTCCCTTTTTATAACTGTAGTAGTATATACGTTTATACATAATATAAATGAAATATATTTAAGCATATATTAATTATATAGTATACACATACGTATAAATATACATATATATAAACATATGTATAAATATATGTACGTACGCATGCGTATCAACCAAATGTGTGTAGCATACATACATGACTTAAACTCGTTCTAACCATTTTTAAATTATTGCTTTAAGAAGAAACAAATGCCTAAATCAAATTTGGGCGTGTTATTGAGTTATATCATCTTTGCTAAATAATGCTTTATTTGGATAATTTTTTTTACGCAATGTTGAAATTGTACATTCAATTAAATAGAACTAAGTCAATTGATTGGGAATAATCTCCCATCTGTTTAAAGACTATTGTTCTGTGAAAACGGAAAGATTCATTTAATATTTCTGCATATTTTGTCATCCTCTTCATTACATGTCGCGCTATAGAGCGGCAAAATTTGAAAATAAAAGCTGATATTTCGAAGTATTGCTAATCGAGATCATGGGACCGTTTTAATGCTTCTGTCACTGAGTTGGAAAGGAAAATTATTGAAGGTAGGGTATAAGCCAAGTAAGCAAAAGCGCTCGGCGAATTATTGTCACAAACGATACCGACCTATGGCAGACAGTCTTTATCTAAATCAATCAAATCAAGACTAGGCGACTTCGATCTTCACATGACGACTGTGGAAGTTAGATATAGCCTCATCACTTTGCTTTGCTTTACAAGCTGGATTTTCTTAGAATTTATCTACATTGATATGAAGTTGGTTACAGATTCATTGATATCACATAAACCGCATTTACTTCCTTCATGATTAGAGCAAATATGTATATATATATATATATAATTATTATATTATTATATTATATATATTATTAACATATGTGCTATTGTACAGTTCGAGATCTTTTGAGCATTTGTCTTCGGTCTAAATTTTATCAACTCTCAAATATTCTAAAGCGCATTTAGACTTTCTTTGGAAAGAATTACTCTCAAATGACTGTGAATCGAAGTGGATTTCAGGCTTGCTCATTTAATTACTCTCAGATGACTCTGTGTTTTAACTCTTTCGAACATTTAATTCAGTTTACTTTCATCAAATGTATTTTGATTAACTTTAGATATAAGCTAGTAAACAAAATATTAAATTGTAACGTAAACTGCCTTTCGATTCTACAAAGTCTGATAAAATTCGCGATTATAAAATTTCTTAATTTATTTTATTTTACAAGTTAGCTTAGAATTAAAGCGTCATAATTTTTAAACAACGCTCTCGCTAAATTCCCTGTTGAAAGGCAAGGCACAGAGTCGCTTATAATAAATTAAAAACCTGCCAAAAATGCCCAACTAACAACTTAAATTGCCAGATCGTTTAATTTGCAAAGCCGCCAGCTTTAAGTTTCATGTATTCGTTAAAATTCATTGCAAAATGCGAATTGCCGTCGGCATTTGTTTCACGTAATCTGTTAAAAGAGCTTTAAGTTTCATGTAATCTGTTAAAAGAGCTTTAAGTTTCACGTAGATGGTCATTTGCAATATTCTTCAAATAAGTTTAAAAATTTTACATACATTTTTTTTGTAAAACATATTTGATTCACAGTTTTTAGAAAGAGGCACTTGGCAGCTCTATCAATTACGCATAACAGTTTAGCTTACTTTGAATGTGTGCACAGAATGACTCAGAAGGTATTAAAATAAAATATGATTTATATGAATTCTCCTTCGGCGGATTATAGGACACCTAACGGATTTTAAAGGAAATCACTTAGATAACAAAATAAAACGACAACAGATTGCTTTGCATAAATGCAGCAATAAAGATGGCTGCGAAAAGTCCTAATATTGTTGCAAAACAAATCAAATCAATATTATATTAATAATTATTACGAACCTGCAAAAACAATTAATTTTGTTAAAGCAAAATTTTATTGTTAATACTGCAATGTTACAAGTTATCGCTTCATCTTAAAAGAAAAAAAAAAAAAAATGTTTTTCTTCCATTTATCCACTTAAAAAATAAATGCATTGGTATAAAACTTTTATCTTATTCGTATTAACTTGGGTTATAGGTCATATGTGTAATTGAAAATTCTTTCGTTGTGGCAATTTTCTTTATCTTGTTGCTGTGTGCTGTTGGTTTAAATCGTCGGACGATCCAGGCATTCGAAATTCGTTTGAATTAGTATATAACTTATTCCCCGATTTTATCTTAAACCGAGAAATTATTAAAACGTGTGCATCTCGTTTATAAAATTGTATAAAACCGTAACCTTTATTAAGTTCTAAATCGCTCTTATGAACTAAAGGATATCTAAGTATGTCACTTAAATACATAAATCCTAATGAACCATGCGGGCCACCAAATTAGTGAAGCTTTCTAGAGAATAGCGGAATGTTCCTCTAAACTTTTTCCTGCCCGTAGTTAGACCGTTTGTCTTCCAGTCTAATGTCTCAGTTCTGCAGTCCTATTGTCCTCAAATAGTTCCTGCCTTAAACGATCCAAGGCGTAGACTATATAAATTTCCACTTTTATTTTGCAAATAGAAAATATCTATCACGTCCACCTAATATTATAGGGTATGAAAATTTAGTTCTTTTCCTTTTTTTAGTTTATCGGTGATGGTTGTAAAAGAGTCGGTCACAACCGAATATAATTTTCTTACCTGTTTGTGTTATATTTACTACACAGGCACACTTCTTTGAATATAGCGTCTCGGGCTTTTCCGCTTGGTAGCTTGTTCCTATAGGCAGCAGCGCGCTTGACGCATACGTCTCTTTTTTTCTATATACCGTCTCAATTAGTATTTTTTTCCCAAATATAGAAGTAGATAGCGACTGAGTTTGTATTTTTCTTTCTGCTTCTCGTTGTCATAACGAAATTGTGTTCATAAACATGCAGAGGGTCATTCTAAACTCATATGTGACTTTCAGGTTCATTTTGTTTCCATAAAGGCATCACTGTTTGACTTGGGAATACAAATGGACGCAGAAAAAGTAAAATTTTCGCAATTATTTGCATTACTGTACGTAAACACGTACAACTAAACGATCTTCTGACACCAACTTGATGCAGGATGCAAATGCACTCGTTGTGTAAAGCGTTTCATCCGGCTACTGATTAACGGAGAGATTAACGAACATTCCCGACAAATGCAGCATGGAAACGAATTAACAAAAACACACCGGGAAATCCACTGAGACTTAAAGGCTTAACAGGAATACCAATAAAAAAGTTTTATAAGCGAAGCATTTGCTCAGGCCGAGTTAATTGTGATGTTCGAGGAAAGAAAGAGAGGAAGCGTTGAAAGGTTATTAAAAAAAAGATTCCCGTGCATGATTAACTGTAAATAAGTTGCTATAATTTCGTAAATAATGCTTACGGTATTGTAAATTTACAAAGCACAGTCGTTACAAGCCTAGCCGTGAAATGTTTGCAACACTGCTTCAAACGAAGAAAGATATTTTACGTTACAAAACATACGCATACAAGGTAATCAGTTGATTGAATCAGGGTAGAGATTATTTAAGAAGATACGTCATAAAGACTTTTTAAGGAAAGACAGTTGCAGGAGTGTCAGGAGTTAATAGGCATTTCATTGTTTACTTTATCATTCTCTCTGCTGAGTTGGGCAAGAATTTCGTTAAAACTTCACGAAGGACGAACATATGCATTGTTGATGATTTACGCGGAAATATCTACGACTGTGCACTCGTGCTCATCATCCATAGGTGAAAAACGGACAAGTGCTTATAATAATTATGGACATTGGATTTATTATTATTATTATTATTATTATTATTAATTTCGCCAGAGAAATAAATTCTAAGACTAAACTCTTAAAAGCACTAGCATATCTAAGGCTATCGGCTTTTATTAAAAACTCTACCGCACTTTAGATTCGAACCCATGACCACTGACTTGCTAGTCGAGATTCCTCGCCTTCGGCTACTCAGGCGGACCTTGGCTTTAAATTAAGTAAATACTTTTTCAATTCCTTGAATAGTAACCAACTGAGCATAGTCGCTCTGTGTACATTTGATATACATTTTTTTCATTGAAATCTTATTGCGGAAATGTTGCTAACAAAATTTCATGTCTTATATGTGTACAGAGTGCTTTTGACGTAACTACGTTACATTCGTTTTGTTAAAACGTTTTTGTAACTCAGAGATTCTATAAAGTATAGATAAACTTGATCGTGGTTAATAGATGTATTTAACGTCGATGGTAAACATATTTTCAAAATGCTTGCAAGACGCAGAAAGCAGCTTCAGAGATATTATACTGTGCGCACATTCCTGACGAGTGTACTGAAGGAGGTCTGTCGGTCCGTCTTCTTGTCGGAGCATGCAGCTGTCTGTGATAAACATATTCCCGGTCACAAAAATGAAGATATATTTAAAACGTATCCGAAGTTTTCGTATACAAGTTGTTGTTGAAAATTGTTCAAATGGATCGAAGGTCTCTTTAAGGTATAACGTAAACTAAGAATTCCTTTGTTTTTAAAACTAAAAGAAATTTTTTTTTGTTTTTGTAAACTACAGCAGACAACATTTTTCCACGGACGATCCTGTCGTGCACTGCAAAAAAGGGTAAAATTATTCTCAACCTACCCAATGTGGAATATTGTTTCTGTTTTTGGTTCCATTTTTTTGGGGTCAAGTGGTTATAAAAACCGAATTTAATTCCTTTACTTGTTATTGTATAGTGCGTTAAATGTTTTATAATTTCTTTTTTTTTATAAAACGTGCAATATACGTAAACGATTAAGTACGTCCATGGTTTTGGTCATTTACAAAGTTTTCCATATAAAAATATTCATTTTCAATTTGCACGGTTTTATGAGCAAAATACCTACTGTATAATTGCTAGAACTACGTGTAAGTGACACACGCATCTGAAGTTGTGTTCACTTATTTTTTGTAGTGTGGACATATCCAGTTACAATAAGCAGTAACATCGACACATATCGCAAGCGAGTCTGAAAGGCTTTGATAAGAAGACGATATTTCGTATTTCGCCGCACCATTAGTGTGTGGTCTGTGGATTAGCTGTGAATGTTTGCTGAAACTTTTAATATTAAACACTACCCATAGCTGCTTACTGTTCAGAAAACGAGAAAGATATCAAAAAAAGACGTCGGTAATGTGCCTGACATCCGCCCATTCATAGATGCAGGAAAAACGATTCGTGGTTAGAAGCGCCTAACTTAGAGGCCACGCTACTTACTCTCCAAACTCAAGTGTTTCCGATTATCACTCGTTTGCATTGATGAGAAATTAACTTACTACAGAGCACATCTTGTCAGACCAGCGGCAAAAATGTGTATTTTAATAATATTTTCTCCTGAAGCTTTCAAGGTAGGTGCAGACGTTAAACATGGAGACTATCTGTCTAGGAAATCAGTTGCCTTGG